CAAGATATAGATCAACATCTGGAAATTTAGATCACTAAATTGCTTTAGTTCCTTTAAAACTTTTGATTTACACACATAATGCTAACTTCCCTTCCCCACCCACCATTTTCTACCAATACAGCCCAACTGATATCTGTCAAACTTTAATGTCTCTCCTATATTAGAAGTCAGCTAGTCTGTTAATAACAACAACTACATATGGCTTATTATTATAAAAACTTGTAAGTCATGGGAACCCTGTCACTGGCAGAATACACATTATTACTATTATTATAAAATAGCAATTTTGAAGAATGCATTATTATTATTATTATTGGCTGTATTACATGTTGATAATAGAGTAAAATATTTTTAGACATTCTTACCTGATAACTACCACCTGATTCTGCTCATCCTTGATCATCTTGCTGTAGCATGCACTTCCAATGGCAAACAAATGTCTGAAACAGAGAGAGCACCCTGTAGAGTTAGGCAACACTGGCAGTCACACTCTTGGTCTGGGCAATAAACGAACATTCTAATCCTGTGAGAAAAAATACTCAGTTCTGGCAAAGAAAAGAAAAAACTTACTCCAAACAATTATTTCAACGAATTCATAGATCTTTACAAGCACACTTGTGCCCACACAAAAATTACACTCTAGTAAATTTATATATTGTATTATAAATAACAGAAATTACTAATATTGTTTAAACAATTCTGTTCATCACAACAAGTTATTCTTATTACCAAAACAAGTTTTAACCTAATTTAGTGAAAACAATCATTGTAAGTCATTCAAAACAAGTCTTAGAAATAAAAAATAGCTAATTAAAGAATATTCTTAAAGACTACTACATGTACTTACGGAGGCAGAGTTCCCAGGACTTGTCCTTCATACTGTTTAACTCTGTCCAGACCATACATATCAAACATCTTGTATGGGTTCACAGCAACCAGTATACTGCCCACATAGGTCTGCAGATTAATGCAAAATATGTAAAGGTGAATTTTCATTTATGTTGAATGGGTACATCTTAAGCATTATTCTATATATTTTAATGACTTATTTTTATGATTTCCTAGTTTTGATTATATATTTCAAGTGACCATCTTCCATGTATCAGTGAATGTAAAATCAAATCAATGTCACATGGCTCTAATAATATTCATTTACTTCTTTTTTCTTATATAATTTTGGGCAGTTGATACACTGGGAAATCTACTGTTACCTATTTGAAGAATTCAACTTAAACAACTTACATATATCTGTTCCCTCTCATATCTGATCTTCAAGTTCCACAGTAATGATCCCTCATTCAGGTCACTAAAATTAAAATATTGAATTTAAATCTACTATTTAATTAAAATCTACGACAACTAATAAGACACTATAAAATGAGTTATCATTTCATGCTAAGCCCTGCACTACTCAATACAATTAAAATTTCCTTTTGAACATGTAATGGTAGTTTATCAGTCAAACCAATGATTACATACATGTAATAGTACTATTTGCAAACTGCCTATTCTCTCAAGTACAATTAATCAATCTTAACCAACAAAAAGATTAATAAGCACACATTCTAAGTAAATATATGGAACTGCACCAAAACTGTAGCTCACTCAGGAGTCAGCTCTCCTTAATGCATAAATTGGCCGATACCAATTTGACCTGTAGGAAAACATTTTTGTGTTGTATGTTAACTTAACCTTTTTGTGAGCATATGCCTGACTTTATCTGTTTCAAATATATTTTAATTACAATTTTTTGCACCTTCTGTTGATTCTGTTATTTATTTATCTTTCTTGCAACAAAGAATGTCACAGATGTTTTAGTCAATAATGTATAACCATTCAGCAGAAGTTTTCAGTTACTTCCTCTTAACTACTGTATAGAAGAACTATTATCAACCAGTGGGAACGAAAAAGGAAGTAAAAACACTCTTAGCGTACTTGGTAAACATGATCATTTGCATTTGATTAGCTTTATTGTTTACAAGTATTGCATTAGCTTCTGACCCTAGGGCACGAATATCACATCTATAGATATCAGAAAATACACACAATGGCACTTAAGGATTTTCAGTAACTTTTTCCTTTTAGATAAAAAGCCACTTATCAGGGGAATTTTTTCTTCAAGAGTTCTTTTGATTACAGCATATTTCAATCTATTATGAAGATTTATAAAATTTTCACAAGGTATATTTCAACATCAAGACAATGAAGGTGAGTGAAATAACTGGTTTGCTGTATCTTACTTAGAAAACTATAGCCAAAAATTAATAGCCATAGTATGAGGAAAAATGTACAACTCCAGGAGTACTATTATATTGTCCCCACAATTCTCAAAACAAAAAAAGGCCCATCCTATGTATTGAGCATACTGGAGCAACCTATGGTTTCTACATAATTTTCCTACTGCTATAGTTCCTCAATACATCGGTATCTGAAATGTTGCTCACATTTTTAATGGGCCAAAGGAATTATATTTTAGAATAGTAACCAAATCTGCTGACAAAAGAAAACTGTGAATGACAAATGGTTAAGACGAAAGGAAATTTAAAAAAATTATCAGACTACAGGATGTAATATCATTGTCATAAATCCAGTTAAACATGAATCTAGTGAATATGTATTAATTGCAACTGGTCCAATAATGGTCACTACAAATTGTTAGAAGTTTACTGCCCAATATATAAGATAGAAATTAACCTTCTGGAGAGAGAATTCTTCTGTCAAATGTGATATATGAAATACAAAGCCAGATACCCATCTGTAAGAGGTATCAGTAGACTTACTTTAATGTAATCATATCATCTACCCCCTCCTCCCCCAGTTCTTCTCTTGGTTCAACGGCAGCCATTGTGGTCCCTGACACTTGAAACACCTCCTCCTATCAATAGAAAAAATTTTATCAATATTCTGTGGCAAAAGTTTGACAAAAAAATGTTTGGATTTCTGTAGGTACTTTGTATCAGAGCACACCTGGACAAAATGGATCTACAGTATCAGTTGCTGGCTGTCAAAGTGGTAATATAATCATAGACAAATAAAACTACATGAAGACATGCAAGCTAACATATAAACTGCATGAAACATGAGTATTGACAATAAATATATAACAAACAGCTTTATCTAATGGGAATCACCTTAGGTAGCTCAGAGTCTTGCAACTTCATACAAAATCAAGGGAGATCTAGCAGAATTTGGCAGAGACTGGGGTAAGAACTAATGGTAGACAATGTGGCAATGAATACAATCTGATAAAATTTATCCACAAATATTTTTCTGGTTGTTTTAATTTCTGTCCAACTGCAAATTCAACCTTTTTTGCATGTCACTTTGGTATCGCTTTCTAGGACAACATTCTGATGCACAAAGCTACATCCTTATCGCTGAAAAGTTAACCCCACCTCACAGACTCTCTCACATTTTCAAGTCTTTGTACCCACTGCCTTGATTTTGGTTATCTCAGACGATTCACATTATATCCAATCTATCTTGAGATCAAGTGCTCTAATGCTGGTAGTGAAAACTATGATATACATAATGTCATTTTTCCTGATAGAATATTAATAAGGCCAGGTTAAATGATGGCTCCTTTTAAGTCATGCAATAAGTGTTCGACTTTTACATAGAAAAAATATAATTTTTCTGTAAATTTCAATACTTCCTCTAATCATCAAGGTATACCATATACAAATACTAAACAAAGTTACAATCAAATTTACAATCTTGCCTAGTACGTGATGTGATAGCGATGATTCTGCATGGGGTTGAAAAGAAGTGCCTCTCATCAAAATTCGTGTGCTACTGCTATTTTCCCTGTTTTATGTAATAAATCGAATGATACTGTGATTTTTAAACAAAGTTCTGGTTTGAACATAGCCAACTATGTTGGCAATCTTTTAATATTAATTTAGTATTGTAGATGTAATTCTGTCAGTGAATGCATACCTTGTTAGGGGTAAAATAAAGTTTTCATGGCTACCAAGATGGATGTGTATGACGAAAACAAGGCATGATACCAGTTGAAGGTAGAGCTCGCAGTCGTTGTACAAAATTTGTCCCGGGGTATGATGCTATGAATTGCATACTGATATACACCATAAAAACCAGAAGTGATCTGATCTACCAGTGAATTCTGGCTCCTTCGGTGCTGTGTCTAGTAGTTGGGTAGGCCTGTTATTGGTACAAGCCAGGTTAGATAACTGAGGTGTAACATTCACATATTCAGTGTGTCTCCAATGTGGCATTGTTCCACATCAAGTCAGCTGTGTACAAGTTATGTCAGTTCCATTACATGTGGATACATTTCTGAACATGGCCCAGTAGCAGCCTCACACACTATTGTAGTCCTGTACACCCATGTAAGAACCACTGACATTCTGCAAGCTGTCACCATTGTAAGCCATAGACTGCTAGTTACATACAGCATATGTGACCAAAACAGTTCTAAGTTGAATGAGGTCTGCCTGTTACACGGGCAAAGGTAGACTAAACTTTAAATATCCCAAGTTTTCTTTAAATCTATTTACAGGGATAGAATCTACTCACAGTTCCCGTCTTTGATGAAGTCCTGACAGTAATAATGTGATTTGTAGGATCGTAGTCAGTCACTTCCCCTGGTACTGGGTATCCTGACCCGGCGCTAAACCACACTAGACGACCCTGGAAAATGTAACAGTTGCCCAAGTTACGCCACGAGTCAAGAAGGTGTATGCATGTGTGCACCAGTGTGAATCACGAGTGGATGTCACATACAGCTCGCTGACAAGCAGTGAACCTGAATTATACCATAGGTGATGTCAAGAACAAGAGTCAAACGATATGGATATATGGCATTCATGTGTGATATGCACAAATACTATATATACCACATCTGGGTGTTATGTTCTTGATATCCACCATGATATAAATATAACATGAAAAAATTACAGTCGAATGGGTATTACACAATTTTCTTGTGAGATACATAAAATATGGATACATGATCTGGAGCCCTTTTTACTTATATTCTCAAGTAAGGGGGTTTACTGGGGGGGGGGGGGGTTATTTGGTAAGTGTGAGATAAAACACCATCACTTTAACAGCATATGCCAGAATGCTAAGAGCATCGGCATATATTGTAAGAGGGTGGCAGTGTATTATTTGACATATGTATATACTGAGAGTGGGAGAAAGTATTCACATTTTACTTTACAAAAAATACCCCTAAAACTAAATAAAACGTGTAACACCTCTGGGTATAAACATATATCAGGACACAGCACCCTAGTTCAATTATAATAGCATCTTTTAAATCAATCCTATTTGGTCATCACCCGTTACATCCAAGACCTTTGGACACATTTCTGTTACTACATTAAGGCTTCATTCACATGCAATGTCTATTTTCTAAATTCTATTTTCTATTCGCGGTATGTCTTATGATCACAGTCTGTGCCCTGAATATCCCGCGGCGTAATTACTGGCAGCGCGAGCCAGTTACTATAAGTTACTGGCAGCGCGAGTATAGTAACTGGCTCGCGCTGCCAGTAATTACGCCGCGGGATATTCAGGGCACAGACCGTGATCATAAGACATACCG